CCAGCCTGGGCAACTATAATAGAACCTTCACCCCAACTCAAAAGTCCATTCATTCTTCTTTTTAATCACAACAGCCTCCACTCTGAAAGGGGAGCATGCAGGTAAGGAGAAGCTTATCACAGACCTGGAGCTCAAGGGCGTGAGTGGTGAGGGCTGTCTGCTGCATTTGGCTCATGGGAAGCCAGAAGTCAGATCTCCATCACCCCTCACTGAACCAGATCCTCCAAGTACTCCTTAGACTTCATTAGAGCCCTCCTGGGAGTCTTTGGAGACCGATGTGACTGTTTACGTCAGATCTAGATCTTGAGTTTCAGTCACCTCATTTCTAGTGGAGAACCAAAGAGAGAAACCCCTTACCTAGCCTCCCTCCAGGTGTGGAGACTCTCCTGGATAGCAGCCCACAGTAATAGCTCAGACACAAACCCTCCATGCCACCATGGCACCTGTAGTCAAGAGAAGAAATATCCCTTCAATCGTCCACATTCTTCTTCTGGTGAGGGCCTTAATGACTCTGAGTTCTTAAACAATTAGACAGTCCTTGTGTGGACCGTAAACCATCAAAGGCCTCTGTTTCTATTCCGAATTTATCTGCTCTACGGCTTTCCTGCTCTACCAGAACTCCTTTCATCCCTGAGCTAATTGATGTCAGTGTGTGAATGGTGTGCAGGTACCAGTTGGGAGAGAAGAGCATGTGCCATTCACTAAGATCACAGAGTTCTAGCAATACTCTTGGTGAAGAGGAGGCTAGACTTTTATGGCAGTATTCTCTTGGTGAAGAGGCTAGACTTTTATGGCAGTATCCTTTTGGTGAAGAGGCTAGACTTTTATGGCAGTATCCTCTTGGTGAAGAGGCTAGACTTTTATGACAGTATTCTAACTAGAAATCCGTAGTCTCATTATGTCAGGGGCCCCAGGAATATCGGATTTTCTCTGACCCTACATCTTGGTATTAACAACCACAGAGCCAGAGACTGGGGAGATGGCTCAGGTGGTTAATTTCTTTGCAAGCATAAGAACCTGAGCTCCGTCTCCTCAGCACTCATGTAGCAACGACAACAAACAGCAAATAGTTGAGTGTGGTGACGTGTATTTATGATTGCAGCACAGGGAAGGTGAAAACAGAGGGATCCCCGAGGCTTACTGCCTCGACAGTCTAACCTATTTGTCCATCGCTAGGCCAGGGAGTGACTCTGTCTCAAAAATAAATAAATAAATAAATAAATAAATAAGGTAGCCAGCTGCTGAGGAACAGCAGCTGATGTTGTGCTGTGACCTCCATGTGTACGTGTATATACATACTCACACAATTCTCCATTAAAAAATAGAGCTACAGAGTCAGAAGTGGCCTCAACATCTGCAGCGAGTGGCCTCAACCACAGCTCTGCCCACAGCACTATGGATCCTAATGTAGGGCAAGGACTGTCTGTTCCTACTTATTATTTTCCATACTCTGTTTGCACAGATTTGGAAAAGAGAAATGACGAGGAGAGGAAATAGAAGGGGGAAGAGAGGATCAAAATAGTTACTATCTTTTCTCACCAGCTCCTTCTTAGACATGGCCACCAAATCAAGAGTTTCTCCTACTTTGCACTAATTGTCTGGCTTATAAGTTTTCAGTTTTATATATGTTTGTGTGTATGTGTTTATGGGGCAGGGTGTATGTGTATGCCAGATGCCTAAGAGGCCAGAAGAGAGCTATTAGATCCCTTGGAACTGGAGTCATAGACAGTCATGGACCACCCAATGTGGGTGCTGGGAACGTGGGTCCTTTGAAAGAACAGCAAATGTTCCTAAACACTGACCCGTCTCTCCAGCCCCAAGTTTTCATCTTTTAAAACCATGTTAACTATCTCTATTTTACAAACTGCAGCATCACAAAAGCTGATCCCTGCTGAGGGCATGCTGCATTCCTATAAGAATCTAGAAGTTCAGCCGGGTGGTGGTGGCACACGCCTTTAATCCCAGCACTCAGGAGGCAGAGGCAGGAGGATCTCTGTGAGTTCGAGGCCAGCCTGGTCTACAGAGTGAGATCCAGGAAAGGCGCAAAGCTACACAGAGAAACCCTGTCTCGAAAAAAAAAAAAATCTAGAAGTTCACAGCGCTACAAGTCCTTCATCAGAATGAACACCGTATCTATCAGAACATTGATTCTCCTAAGTCAGTGGTTCTCAACCTGTGGGTTATGACCCCTTTGTCAAACCTGTACCTCCAAAAATATTCACAATATGATTCATAAAAGTAGCAAAATTAAAGTAATGATGTGGCAATGAAAATAATCTTAGGGTTGGGGAGTCACCACAACATAAGGAGCTGTATTAAAGGGTCACAACCTGAGGAAGGTTGAGAACGACTGTCCTAAGTTATAATCCAGACCAAAGTTGTGCTTCGATTTGTCACCTAACTACTCTTTCAATCCAATGGAGTCCCACATAGCCACTGACGATAGTGAGCTAGGGCCACAAATTATCCCATGGATTAGAACGTCGGGTGCTTGTGCTAACTTGAGTAGTACGTATACTGACAAGGTGATCAGCATGAATCCTGCATGAGGATGGCAAATGCCGTTTAGCGCTAACTCCATAGATGTAGGCACCGGGACAGGCCAGGGTGGGCCTGAGTTGGGGTCCCGATCTTCTTCCTGTACTCAGTGGTCCTCAGGCTCTTGGAGTTTCTTTTCCTCCACATCATCAGAAACTCACCTCTTTACCAGACAGCTTCCTTCTGGGGGCTGCCGTCAGTAGAGGATGAGTAAGAGGAGCCAAGCTCATTGGTGATGGAGGCAGGCTCTTTGTCATCTGCGATTAAGGAGCTGTGCCTCCTGTGATGTTCGCTATACAACCTCTGCTTCCCCTGAGTGATCCAAGTCCCTGTATCAAAGACATCCACACTGCCCTTGCCCAGAAGTGGGCAAGCAGACCCCAGTAAAGACACAGGTAAGGATAAGGATGCATGGAATAACAGGAATAGCGGCTACTGAGCCTCCATTACCCGCCCCCATGCTATTCCTAACGGAACTTCCGAAGAACACCTTTTTTTTTTAAAGGCGTTAGGATCCCGTGGGTACTACTCTGCAATCGGGACCCAGATGTCAGTTTTCCAGCTCGTTCCCAAAGTATGAAAATACAAAGCATTTTGCAAAACCAAAATGTAAATGTGTCCTGTTGTCTGTGTGCCTTGACCAGGTATCTCACAGACCACCCGAGGGGGAAGGAGAGAAAACACTTCATCCTGGTGTGGCCTCTCCCTCTGGGATAGGCTGCATGTGCTCTATTAGAACAAGACAGGACGTCCCACGCTTTCATCAGCCTTGGTTTGACTTTAAACAAGTGTGTCCTCACCTGCACAGCCTCTGCTGTCCCTTGGAAACCTTTCGTGACACTGAAGCCCATTTCATTGTTATCTGTTTAAGAGAACCTAGCCAGGGCTCAAATTTCAGAATACCAGCACATGCATGACAGCTGTTTGAGTTTAAACAAGTAGTTTCATCTCTCTCGACCCTGTTTTCTTCTTCTTCTTTTTTTTTTTTTCAACTAAAAGAGTACATTGTATTAAGACCCCTTTGTCAATGTTGGGTGAGGTTTGAATGGGATGATGCATACACTGTGTGTTTCAGTACATGAATACATGTACAGTCCCGAAATTAGCAGATGCTCAATGGCTATCATTACTTTTGAAAAGAAAGAACGCTCACCTTACATTTTTAACCTTTGTGAATGGCAAGTCTTTGCCTCATTCTGAGTCCCTTCTAAGCTATGTATCATCCTGTAAGTGGATGAGGAGCTGAGTCTCTTGGGCATCCTAAAGGAAATGAGGCCACTGTTAATCAAGCTCACGTAGTGAGCAAATGTTAATTGTAAGAGAGACAGAAAGATCTCTCCTCATCACCTGGGCTACTACTAGTGAACTGATTAACTATGAGTTAGAAAATAAGTGTGGAAAAATAGCTGTGCCTGGGTAGGCCAACTAACTGATTGACAGGAATCTCAGAAAGGGAAGAGTATGGGAAAGCTTGGCTCAGAAGCCTTGGGACAATCCATCTGACTTTGGGCACCCATTTTAGGTCTCTTGTCTGAAAGGGATCCCACACCTACCCTTTAAAGGCTCCCCAAAGCAGGCGTGACTATTTCTTTCACTTTACCGCTATTCACTGAGCTACAAAGCCACCTTGTTGTATATCTTCTGGGGAGCAGGGGAATGCTTAGACTCTATGATACCTTTGTAGCAAGTTTTTACTAAGCTGTTAATATCGGTTTGCAGCTGTAATCCACCTGTTTGTAGAATGAGGATGAGCAGGAAATGAAAGCATCCTCAACACTCCAAGGGTCAGAGATGTGTTAGCTCCATGTCTCAGTCCAGGATCTCTGGAGATGAGTACTAGAGGAGCCATATTTTTTATTTCATTCAACACAAGAGTTGAATTTGACAGGGGACTGAACCTGTCACTAAAATTCCAGAACCCACATGTTCTCTGAAATAAGCCCAGGTCAGAGCCCTTAAGTTTCTAATTTTCTCTAAGCAAAAGAAGATTTCTGATGGAGAAAAAGCCTCTTAGCAGAGATTTGTTTTATGAACTGAAGAAAATATAGACAAAATCCGTTTTACTCAGGAGTGCCCTCTACTGGCCCTGTGGTAAAACTCCATAGCAGCCATACTCGGCTGCCCCATGGGCATTTATTTGCATGAGCATTTTGGTCTGATTTCTTCTGCCTCCTTTATAACTTATCCTCATGTTTACTGGGCACAAATACAGTGTTAAGTGTTTTGCTTACATAATTCATTTCATGTTTACCAAAACTCCATGCCTGAGTTTTATATATTAGGTGACTGAGATCAAACATTGTGTAAAAAAAGATGGTATCTCCATCTTTGAGATCCTCATTATGCTTAGGAGTCATAACTCAAGAGAAGCAAGAACCAAGAAGGAATGTAAAGTGGGGAGTGGAATTTGCCCTCAGCACTTAGTATAAATAGGTGGACTTTGGCTCTGGGATTGCTCCATAACCTTTCTGGGTACCAGAGCATTTCAGCCCTGCTGTTGAAAAAAATACAAGCCCAAGAGGCAATTCATTAGATGGCTGTGTTCATCTAGTCTGTACTTTATTATACCCACATTGAAGAAGGCAGAGCAGCCATCAGGGTGACCAAGAAGAATTTCCAGGACAGAGAGAAGGCTTTTCCAACCTGCACAACATGTTCACACCAATGTTTTCACAGGTAAAGTTCTGTGGGGGAGGTGTGACAGGTAGCAGTACATACACATGTTGAGAAATGAAACAACTGAGGGACTTCGGGGTTTTGTTAAGAGCCAACATTGGCTTAAGCCCTGACTTTCTGCTTGGTGTTAGTTGGGGCTGAGTTCTAAGTCTGGCTTTTTTGGAAAGAATGTGAGGGTGTTGTTTCTACAGCTGTGTGTGTATGGGTACCCATGGAAGCCAGAAGTGGGCTTTGCATCCCCTGGAGCTGGAGTTAGAAGTGCCATAAGCCACAGAATGTGGGTAATGGGATCTGAGTTCTTGTCCTCTTAAGTGCTCTTAACCACCAAGCCCCAGTAAGTCGGGCTTTTTAGTTGCAGGAAATAAACACTGTAAAAACCTTCTTGTTACACATGCAGACCCTTTCTTGAATTTCCCCTTTCTCGTATTAGATTGGTTCTTCATCTACCTCCCTTGGTATTAAGCATTTGAACTAGAAATTTCACTAGACACTTGTCTTTTGGAGGCAGATCTCTTACCAGTCCAACTTTTAGGGTTATCTAGAGTCCTGGGAAAAACCCAAATATACTTCAGTGCTCCTGTCCATGTGAGTGTGAAGATGTGTACATTTTCAACCTATCCAGGAGAATCTCAGAGCTTGTCCACACTAATTCTTCCCAGGGGTTTGAGCTATGGGTAAGTAATGGGGTTCTCACTGCTGCTCTGGGCGGGATGCTGGTCTCTAGTTTCACTGGCTGTGTCACAACTATACAGAGACCTCCAAAGCACACCCAACTCTCCTTCCTCCAACTCAAGACCTCCCATTAGCTGTCACTCTCCCTACAAGCCATGACGTCATAATAGGGTCAGAATGATGCCTACTGAGAATACAGAGCCGACAAGAGCAGCCTTTTGGGATTGCCTTCTCTGTGACTGCTTGGGTATCACTGGCCCAAAGAGAGTGGCTAAGCTAAAACTATTTGCCCATGATGTAAACCCGCCCCCTCCCCCTGAGCCTTTAGTGGCTGGTGGGAGGAACAGCTGTTTTTTGACTTGCTAATACCAGGAACTCCACTTTGCCAGAAAATGGGGTTTCTTGATGAATAGTTCCAGATTTTGCCAGTTGGGAGTGAACACGTAGTTGGCCACCGGCTGGTAAGGGTGCCCATCCCTTTGCCCAACTGTTGCCTTGAACGCTTCCCCCCTTGGACTCCTCCTATCTCTAGGAAAGTCTAAATAATGCCAGGGAAGGAGGGGAGGGGCTAGCCTAGAGCTGAATGCCTGCAAGGGATTGTGAGTGATGAAATGTGGATTGCTGACACCATGTCCCTTTCCTCTCACTTGTTGTAGGAGCACCAGCGACCGAGAGGAGACCAGATGAGTTTTCAGAGCAGTGCTCAGACACCCAGGACGCATGTCATCCTTTGCCTCCTGCTTTCTGCAATGTTGCTGCTCACCTTCATCTTCCTATTAACCCTCGCCATAATAATCCCCTCCTGACCGCCGCCACCCTTTCTCCATTTGTCACCCACTCAGCTCTTTCTCTGAGGTGTCACTCCCATGGGGCATGGCTTTGTCTCTGGCGAGCTCCCCTTTGAATCATATCCAGATGGCTACCATTATTTTCCCTTTCTTCTGTCTCCTCCTCACACCAGACTCAGCTAACACTCAGTCCCTTGATCAGGAAAACCCAAGAAAAACCTCCCTCTTCCAAAATGAAGTCACAGATGCTCTGCTGGAGCCATCACACTCAGGGAAGAGACCCCCCCCAAGCATAGCTGAGTGTGATGTCATTGAAACCGGATGGAAAGACCAGAAATCCTTTAATCCCAGTGAGACCTAGTGAAGGAGCTTTACTCATGACTGTTGAGACTGATTAAGGATATGGGGGCAGGGAGGAGGAGAGGGAGAAAGATGTTCTGAATTGGATTGCCCTTTAATACAGAATGGAATCCCCTAGATTTTTTTTCCTCCAATTAAATGTGCATTTCATTCTACCACATTGTGATGGCTTCACTATAGAGGTTTCCCCTGGAGACCCAAGGCTGTTCTTCACGGGTCCCAAAGCCACAGGCTACCAGATGATGAGGTAAGTGACACTGTCTAGAATGGTCTGTAGTGATCTCAGAAACCAAGTGCTCATGAAGACCCACCCTATGAGACAGCAAGGTGTGTCCTCTGTTGAGTCCCTCTTGACCTGAGCCCTGGCAGGGAACCCCAGAACAGCAATACATGTTAGTGGGGCTCCACATTATCCTAGAAAGCAGAAAAGACCCTAAAGGCTGACTGTATTAGGAGCTGGGAATATCATTCTACTCTCTTAAAAAAAAAAAAAAAAAAAGTCAAGCCTCAGTGACATATGCCTCTAAGCCCAGCTACATGGGAAACTAAGGCACAAAGACTGTCAGTCAGTTCATGGCCAACCTGGCCCACAGAATGAATTCAAGGCCAGCCCAGGTAACTTAGTAAGACGTGTATTAGAAAAAGAACAGAAAACAAAACAAAAACAACAACAAAAAAACAACAAAACCCAAGCCTACAGCTTAGTGGTAAAGAACTTATGTAGTATGTGTGAGGCCCTGGGTTCTATCCCCAGCACCCAAACAATATAAGTAACCTAGAATTGCTAGGAGATGCTAGGTTTTCATATGTAAGCTGAGTCTCCTTTTTTTTTTAGATTTATTTATTTATTTATTTATTTATTTATTTAATGTATACAGAAGATGGTGCCAGATCTCATTACAGATGGTTGTGAGCCACCATGTGGTTGCTGGGAATTGAACTCAGGACCTCTGGAAGAGCACTCAGTGCTCTTAACCTCTGAGCCATCTCTGCAGCCCCCGAGTCTCCCTTCTTAATGACACAATTCAAAACCAGTTCAATAATCAGTAGATGCTTACCAACAAGTGCAAATGCACAGCAGGTATTTCTAGCCAGCGCTTCCCTCTGGTCCACAGCCTAGATCTATTGGGGTGGGAACTATGGAAGTACAACCCCATTCATTATGATTGGCCTGTGAGACCTAAGCTTAGTAGATCCACAACTGATGGCAAAGCTGACTTAGGGCTATAATGTTCTGATAATTCTGACCCACCTAGAGCCCCATGAATTTGTGATGGTATTGACTCTGCCTGCTGAATTCTGGGAAATAGACCACTGTCCATCATAAGCTAAGTTCCCACGGGTGTCTCTAAGCTTCCCTCAGGTCATTCTTTTCTTCCTGCAGTCTGTGCTTCTGAAGCTCCAGTGCCTTGCTGTTTGGCCTCTCAAATATGCTGGCTTCCTGAGCTCCACCCCACTCCCTCAGCTTCTGCTCTGTATCACATGCTTGCTCTGGCTTAGTCTTTGCTTAGATCCTCACCATGAAACCTACTCTAGATATCCCTGGATGACTCTCCTCACTCTAACAAGTGCCTTTCAGGGGCAAAGCATGAAAACCCTATCATCTGGTTCTCCAAGGTGCCTTGCAGTTAGAATTAGGATGGAGAGGGGCTTGCCTCTTGACAGTGGAGTTGTGTGCAGATACTGTCTTAACTGTCCTGGAGTTGAATAATGCTAGATACTTTCCTGTAACTAGAGAACTGAGACTCTTTTACCATTGACGACAACAGAAAAAGGGGTGGGGGTGGGGGATTCCCCCAGCATTAGACTATTCACTCCCAAACCTTCAAACACAGTGGCTTCTAGGAAATGTTTTCCAAGGCTTGAATATACCTCTTGATCAGCTTGAGTGGTGCAAACATGTGTTTAAGAGAGTGAGAGGATTGTGGAATAGCTTATATTATGCATGCTGTGGCTTAGTCCCTGCCCCCTTCTCTCAGCTAATGGCTCAGTGTCTAAAGTTTTCAAAATCAGGAAAAGGATCAGGGACACCCATTTCTAAAGGAGAGCTGGGATGGATGGTCAACTCAAGGCTGTCAACCAAGACATCTGTCTTGGAAGACTCTTCCCACCTTCCCCCTAGCACACAAGGGGCTTGTTTCTTTCCGTGTAGAGACGTAAGGGCAGCAGCCTGAATAGAAGGAGAAGTTTGATGTGTTTCCATCCCCTCTAGCTGGTTTCAGACAAACCCCTCCTGTTTGGAATGAAGCTAAGCTAGCTGAAGCCTTCTTTGCTATTGGGGTGGTTCTTTTCTCCAGCAGAGAGCCCCACCCCCAGACTATAGGGAAGCAAGGCGGTATCTCTTGATTCCAAAGACTTCCCTAGCAGGAGTAAATCAGTTTTATGAATCCAGTTATGGCTGAGAAAGCTTCACACACATCCACCTCCAAATGATGGAGTCTAGAACTTGAATACTGAAGACTAGAGTTGGAATTGAGCAAGCATGTTAGGTGTGGGCAGTACGCATTGCAGACACACAGATGGGAATCGGATCCAATCCCTGGTTTTGCAGCTTTAAGCTCTAAAGGGTTTTAGACCAGTCATTTAGACTTTCTGACCTCTATTTCCTTGGCTTTCAAATAAGAAGAAATAATAACTAATGGTTTGGGAGTGATTTCTTTACTTCCTGATCCTATGAGGCCGGTGTCAATATTATAACACCTATAGAATTTCTGTGAGGATTAAATACCATCATTTCTGTGTAAGTGTCCAACACAATATCTGGTGGATAGTTGGTATTTAAAACTATCATTCTTCCGTGGGTTTTCTGAGATTTACATTTTTCTCTCCTGTCCAAAACACAGTATTTTACCTACTGGCATTTTCCTTGATGTTTGGAAAAGAGAGAAGAGACCTAGGCAAAATATTCATTGGCTTTGCTGATCCTGAAAGAAGAGAATCAGTTCTTCTCAAGGTCTACATGATGAACAGCTTACTCTTGCACGTTCTCTGAGGGGAGCATCAGGGGAATCTTGTCCAATTTGTGCTCATGATCCCAGGGATGGGTTGAAAATGCAGAGTGGTTTTCATCTTGGACAGGTTCCATGTCAGTCTATTAATTCCCCGAGTCTTTAGTTTGAGTGCTTAGACAGGAATTGGGCACCAGAGCCCTTAACAAAGAATGATGAGAGAGCTGGGAAAGCCAAGGTCACCCACTCCAACCCAAGCATGCACCAAAGGCTAGGGAAAAGAGAACCCGGAGAAGCGGGAATTGTAGAGGACTAACTTTCTGCAGTGGTGGCTTCTGTGTTTCCTAGGCCTGCTCAGGCAATCTAGTCAGTCCTGTGACTGCAGCATACCAGGACACGGCAGAGAGTCACTCTCTTCTGGGAGGAAAAGCAGAGCCACTGACTCCACCAGGTGGCCCCAGTTAGGTTATGTTTTTCAGCTGTTGTCCTCAAAGTTGTGATGGTCAGGCCTAAGAACATTTCAACCACCCCCATCTCTATATTATTCAGGGTTTTCTGAAAACTATTAGGAATTATGAATGAATTTTCTATGATCTCAAATCAAGAATGGTGGCATACCATCACCACATAGAGCATAGACAGCACAACACTGTTCTGAATGCATCTCTTCTGTATAGTTTATGTCATCTATGTAGAAACCTTATACTTTCTGTGAATGAGCTCACATCTGTGCTTATATCTTATGTCTTAAAATGCACCTCTGTGCCTTTAAATACACACTTAGCTGACATTTGTATTAATCCGAGACTACTTCATTGAAACACTGCCTGCATTTCATGTCCGCCTGGTCACATCTGATGGCCCCATTGATAAGCCACCCCCAGTACAAGAACCAAAGCCACTTCCTCCCTCTCATTGATGCTGCTGCTGGCTGCACACCAGCCCACTGCAGCAACATTCTCACATGCATACATACATACGTGCATTCAGAGAGCTAAAAATAAACAGCTGCTGATGGGCTGCCCGAGGGTGTCCTCCATATGGAGCAGACGTCCTCTGTCCCTCTCAGCTTAAGCCACAGACAAAAACTGAAGGGACTGCCGGGGCTTAAGCTTAAATGGAAACCTTGTAAGACAAGTTACAAAGGTTAGGAGGGGCTGGGGAGAGCTACAATAGCCTGAGTCTCAATGGCCTTCTTTTCCAGACCTTAGGGCCCAAATCCTCTTAATGACCTCTGAATAATTGTTTATTGGCATCCAGCAAAAGAACTGTAAAGGAAAGTTGATAATTAGGGTAAGAAAGGAGATGGTCCATGCTTGCAACCTGTGTGTAGCCTCTGACTTCCTATTTTCTTTCCCATTCTCCGATCAGAGACCCTTCCAGGTAGATCCAGTGCTGTGTGCATCAGAGGAGGGGAAATTGTGTGTAATTTTGTACAGATTTTCCAATCTTGAGGAATTCTTCCCACCTCCATCGATCAAGAAACCCTTTGTCATGCTGAGGTGTGGCATTTCTTCCAAACACCTCCTATTCAGGCACACACACACACCGAGACACACAGAGACCGTCATGAAACAAGGGCCATTCAGACTGGTTAGAAAATAACGCTCACCCACTGAGCTCTTTTCTCGGGTCATTATTTTAAGAAGGAAAAAAAAAATCTGCTGGTATTTAAGAGTAAAGCTTCTCCTGGCCTCCAAAAGGCCTGATAACGTGGCTAGAGACAGCATCTGCAGCCTTTTTTTGATTTTTTTCTGCCACCTCATATAGAAAGAAAAGTTGCATATTCACCAATATTCTGCTATCTATTTGTAGGGGCGGATTCCCTCCTTAGCGGTGAGGAGAAAAAGACTGCCTGACCCACCCCTCTAGGCGTTCCCACCACCAGCGCTGATCATTGGCAAAAGGCTACCTGTGCTGGTGTGTGTGTGTGTGTGTGTGTGTGTGTGTGTGTGTGTGTGTGTGTGTGTGTTTTGTGCACGCTTGAGGTCACTTTCAGGCTTATCCGTCCCTGTACTGTGAGTCTGTCGGTCTCTCTGTAACTCAGATCATTGCTCTCTGGGAAGCTGTAGCTGGCTGATTCCGTGGGAGACCAAGCAGGATGCGTGGGCGCAGGGAAAAGAAGAGGAGAAAGGAAGAGGAGGGGGAAGGGATCGAGAGCTGGAAAGAGGCGGGGGAGCCGTAGAATCTGTTATTTGCGTCACTCGAGGAGCCGGGGCTGTCTGGCCAACAAACAGAGAATTAATCCGAGTTATAGCCATAGCCTGCTCTGTTACTGTGGCCAGATGCGAAAGGGCGGGGAAAGCACGCGCGCCGGAGTCTGTGCACTGCCGAGTTTGCAAAGGGCGGCAGGATGTTTGGGGAGGGGGCAGTCTGGCTAGGCACGCCCCTCGGGGGCCCTCAGCACGCCCTGTGCCTCCTCTGCTGATGGCCAGCCCAAGCCTGGGTTGGCGCCCACCTCGACCGCCTCGCCTGCTCAGTGGCTGCGCTCAACACAAAGCGCTGTCTCTGAGCAGAAGCCTCTTCTAGCTTGAACCAGACCCACCAAAGAGGAGAATCTGCACGTGACGTCAGCAGCTGATGACTGACGCAGGCTGGCAGAGGAGACTCGAGGCGGCTGCTCCGCGCTGTCTTCATGAGTCTCTTTTCTCCATCCCCCCTTGTAGTGAATTACTAGAACGCAAAACACACACACACACACACACACACACACACACACACACACACACACACACACGTGCAGCCTTTAAAAATTTACATTTCCAAAGGCGGTGTGTTGCAAACACCACGCGATTTTGCAAAGCGTGTGTAGGGGATGTGGGAAGGGTATGGATGATCGTCCCCTCCCCCCTATTTGGGGATGTCCATCGTGGATAGTGTTAGACTCTAGAGCTTTCCAGGGAAGCTCTTCTGGGGGAAGGGGCTAAGCATCCCCAGTTTCCCCAATGTGTAGGAGATCTGGTCAATGGAGACCTGAAGCTCTAAGAATACAACCACTCCAACGCCTTCTGCTTGGGAGACTGTGAGGAGCTTGCAACAGGCAGAGGCATACTGGAGTTAATAGGAGGGAGGGAGAATATAAGAAATAGTAGGGTATTTTTCTGTTTTGAAAGACATCTATAGCAATGCAAGAGGGTCTGCAGAAACAAGTGAGGAGGGGGCGCTTGGTGCACCTTTAATGTTTTGGACTCAACGTTCCAGCGAAATGCCTTTGTGTGTGCAGGTTTTTTCAGTACTTGCTAAAAATAGCATCTGGGTTTGATCGTGTTCCAGAAATAGACCGAGGGCTGTACTGGGATAAAAAGCCAGCGAGGGTGGAAGAAAACCTGGACACCACCGCACCCCCCTCCCCATGTCTGGAAATTAATTGTTGGATTTTTCCTTCCTCTCTCCTTTCTTTATCCAACCCCCCCCCCCCCCCCCGTGTTTCTTCTTCTCTTTTAAGGAGTTCCCGTTTGGGTAAGTAATATTATGTCATGTGCATGCTGCAGACTGTAAGTACAAGCTTCGTGCATGCTCGGGATACATTCTTGGCTGCCTTTTTGCCCCTTCCTAAGTGGAAGAAGGAGACTGAGTAGGGGGTGAGGTGTAGCGCTCTCTGTGTGTATGTATGTATGTATATAATGAATTGGGGGCTGCATGCAAAGGAACCGAGAAGGAATTCTTGCAGAGTTGGGAATCACCCTGACAAATTTGAGTCAATAGCAGCTGCAACGCTCTCTCTCGTTATGGGTCGGCGCTGTTGAGCTGGGTTCTCTCTACTGCCCTCTCCCCCTCCCTATTTTCTCCGTCATAAAGGGTGGCCAGACAAGATTTTATGGGCCATCTCGATGCGAGATTAATGGAGACTATGGAATATAGACCAGAACTGCATGGGGTAAAGGTAATAAAGAGAGGGGAGCGATCACCATTCCGCTGACAAACCTCTCTACTTGCTTGGGTTAGGGTAATCAACACCTAGATGCTGGTCCTGGCTGGTCTCGACTGATCCCGCCCTTGGTAGCTGTCCACGAATATAGGTGCTGAAAATTCCTTGGTCCGCAGCAAGTTCAGTTCTGAGCGCCAGGGGGCAGGATTGGCTCCAGCTGAAGCTAACCCCGCCCTGGATGCAAAACAGGGATCCGGAATGGAGGGGGTTAAGGATGTTCAAAGGGGATAGTCGTGACTTCGGTGAGAGCTTTGGGAAAAGGAGGGGTGAGTGGGAAGGAAAAGGGAAAAAAATTAAAGGAGAGGGAGCGAAGTGTTAGATTCAAGGATGAGCTAAGGCCGGGCGCTCCAGGAACCCAAGACCAAAGCCGGAGGCTCACCATCTCTTCCTGCAGAGGCTGGCCACTGTCTGGGTCTCCAGTCTCTTGGCTCCAACACCTTCCCGCCAGCGGTTTTGAAATATTTCTCCCTGATGATGATGATTCTCAAAATAAGAGGCTATAGGTTGCTTATTTCGACCCTGCCCCCCTCCCACTTCATGCTCCCTCACATAACCACATCCTGCAATTCCTGGGAGGGGTGTAAAGGCGTGTGTTATGTCACTTACTACCCCCGCGTCCTTTGCATCCTAGTCACAGAAGCTCTAAATGACTTACTGGGATGGGAGTATTAGAAACCAAAGGACTGGAGTTGCTGGTGCTGTGCACAGAGAATCCAGGCTTCGGAACATCGCCTGGCGCCTGTAAGGCAGTTTTGCAAACCACTAACAGGAGAAATTAGGGAGGATTTTTCTCAAGGTTGACAAATGTTACTGGGGAAACCACCAGCTCTCTGGGGGTGAGTTGTGAGTGAGATTCATTACAATCAGCTCCAGATACTTTGGCAGAACCTGTAGCCAGACAGATGAGGAAGGAGAAAAGTTATTGGGAGAGGGGGTCACTCGCACACAAAGCCATTTATACTGATTGACTCCTTGGACTAGGGTGCATCCTTAAACTGAGCCACAAGAGTAGCCAGCCTGTAGACGGTGGGGAAACGAAGCACTCTTGCAGTCTACAATAAGCTTATATACATGCAGGAATATTGCATATTTGTTCTTTTGAAGCTCAAGTCGATGAGGTTATCTGTGAGGAGGGGGCACAGGATAGAGAGGGGGAGACTAGGTAGTCCCTGTCCCACCTGGCAACAGCCCTGCCGTGCATGACCGACCTACATCAGGGCAACTGGATTATAGCCCCTGGAGGGAAAAGAGAGTGAGTCGAGTTAATTTTAGCTCCGAAGGTCCCTTTCTGGGCAGGTTTCCTTGCTGTGGCTGAGTCTTCGTCAACTCCTAATAGTAACAAGGGCTGTTACTGAGGTGCAGAATAACCAAATAACGCTGCAGCCCACACTTTGTCTTGACAATCCAAGCTTGAAACAAAGCTGCTGCTCGCAGCTTCTTGGCCCACCCCTCCGCCTCCTCGTCATACCAAGGGGAGATACTAGTTCCCTTTTCCAAGTCTCACCCCTCTCCGTCCCACAAGTTCCCTGTTTACAAATTCTGCCTCATTTGCAAAGGAAATTGCGGGGCGGAGCGGGGGGGGGGGCAATCAAACACCTGCAAAACGTGAAGCAGTGGTGGTGGGGTTTCCAAGAGCCATGAAGTGGGAGGGGGGACACCCCGTGTCCTTATGTCCCTCTAGCCTTCTCTCCCTTGCCTCTTCACTGCCTGGCACAATGCACAAGTTTACCCCCAAACTGGATCCTATTAAATAATTCAATGGTAGCGGTGCAATTTTGGTTGGAACCAGCACGGATTCCCAAGTCGTGACTGCAAAAAGTGAGTAATGCGCGCTGGCTGCGTCATGGCTCTAGTCACAGTTCATTCCGAACTGAGAAGGAATCGTGACTTCGCCTGGAGACGTCCCCTACATGGGAGTTGGGGAGGGGGGGCAAAGCAGGGGCCAACGGGGGTGGGGGAAAGACCTATCCAATGAAAACCTCTGTCAGGGGGTGTTGCATTTGAACACTGCACGCAGTGCCGCTGTCCCCTCTCTGCCCGCTGCACCCCCGCCCCCCAGCCAGCGCTCTCTGCGGTGCTGGCTTGCCTCTCCCGCTCCCCGAAGAGTCCTCAACAAGTTGGAGGGAGGCAGGAGCGCAGGGGTTAAGCTCGGGAAGCTGCAATTACCAAGATCGTGACCCTCCCACACAGTACAGTAACTTATATACTTACCTGGAAGAGCCCGCTTTGCCGCTGGGCAAACACCCGTGGGGGAGGGGAGGGGCAGGAGGGGAGCGGGCTGGCCAGAGAGGGCCGCTTCCAGACCGCTGAAGTGCACACGGAACCAATGAACTCCCAAGACTCCCGGACTCAGGTAAGAAGAAAGGATTTGGAGCACTGGCCGCCTGGTGGTCGGTAGGCTCAATGGTCGACCGAGCAGAACTTTTTTCCCCAATTGCCCCGCGCCACGCCAGTGGCAGGCGCAGACTGTGGAGCCCCCTCTGGCGTGGCGCTCAGACGCTGGGAGGGTGTGTGCTTGCGTCTTTCAGTAGCTGAGCCAAGCAAAGGGAATGCAGTGGGAGGGTGGGTGGGTGGGTCGCAGAAGTGTAGGAGGGTGATGCATGGGTGGAGGGGGTAGGCCGACAGGAACTTGGGAGACCAAGACTGAGGTCTAGAGATGCATCCTGTGGGTATGATGGGCCAAGGGCGTGTGTGTGCTTGTGTGTGTGTGGATAAGTCTGCCCGCACGTCGATTCCCGGGTGGCCAAAAAAAGAAAAAACAACAACAAAAACTTTTGCACCTAAGTTTTTGCAATGTTTGCAGTAAACCACCCAGACTTAGGTTTTCCCCACTGGGAGACGATATCACTGGAGAGGGAGACAGGCGTTTACTTGATCACATCCTTCTTTGGCATCCCTGGGGCTAGGCAAGAGGGGACTGAGAATTGGGTGGCGCTTCGCAGTAAAGAAGAGAGCATCCGCTGGAAGTTAGAATAGATGGAGTGGGGGAGGGGCCTAGAAGGAAAAAAGGAAAGCGGGAAGAGGAGAGACTATGCCCCCTCCTTCCTCTCCAGTCTCTCTTCCCCTCCCTCTTGCAGATGCTGGAATCTCCTGTCGCTGTGGCAATCAATGCCCAGCTCACCCCTTCTTGTTCCCCCAACGTTTTGCAGAATGGGGCGTGTGGGGGGGAATGCAGCAAGGAAGGGGCACCTGAGGCAAATGGACCATCTGGACGGGTTTTGAGGGGGGGTCTTGCGGGGGGAAGAGCTTCACCCTTCTTAGTGAACATTCAGAACTTTTGGGGGGCAGAGTGGGGTAGGGGGACTGGAGAAAGTCTCATTTTTCTAGAAATAGGCCAACTAGAGTGGGGTTTGAGCTTATTTCATGTTCATCTTTGCCAGTCATTTTCCGTCTGGTTCTCCTGGCTTAGGTCCCGGTGGAAGAGGTCGCTCTCTTGAATCCCTCTTTCCCAATATACACTGCCACCCCCTCACCTGGGCTAGAATGGGAGGGAGTCATGGACAGTTTTTGCAACAACAATATTTTAATGTGTTCTAGTCTAGGTTTTGTTGAATAATTAGAAATGGAAATATTTTTCTCCCTCCCCCTTCTGAAAAAAAAAAAAGAAATGTGAGCTCTCTTCTGATTGGTGGGTGACGATTTTAGTCCACACCAATGAGGTGGCGGCCCTGTCTGTATTTATTTAGTGCTCTGGGGGAGTTTTTCTCTTTACGCAGCGCCTGTAGTCACGGCTGGAACCTCTGCTGGGGGACTAGGAAGGATAGGAGGGGATTCGGGGGAAATCTGGACCGTACCTGTTCAGAGATCCACGACCTTGCAGCCAGGGCTAGCAGAACGCTGATATGGGAATTGGGTGTTAGACTAGATAGGGTCGGAGAGGCTCGGGGTGCTAGACGAGAGGGGTGGAGGCTGGGCTCAGGGATCTGGGGTCCCCCTCCGAGCTACCCTTCTCGCCTTCCACTACCTCTTGAGGTTGTGCAGGGCTGAGTCGGAGGACTTCGGACTGTCTGGAGAGAGAGAGGGATGGGTCTGGGGACGCGAGGAGGGAAGCGCGGCGCGCAGGGTGGGGAGGTTGAGCCGCGGAGGAGCGCGCCGGGGACATCCAGCCTCCTCGGCTTCGGGGTTCGGAGACGTGCTGGGCTGAAGGCGGCGGCGGCGGCGGACCGAAGAAGCGGGTAGACTGCCCTTCGCGAATCTTTTTGCGGTCTGGGCTTGCTGTACATAACTCAAAAGCCGGAAGCCCTTACCCCAAAAAGCATTCGCGGAGGGCGCGCTCGGCGACATGACTGCAGCTACCAGCGACCGCCCGAAGCCGGCACCTTCCCGAAGCGGCTCCATCCGAGAGTTCCCCAGTCTTTCTCCCCGTTTTCCACGGAAGAATCAGCTCTTTCCTTCCTGTCCTTTCCACGCTCCGGGAGGCTTTGGTCACTCGCCTTCCCGCGGAGTGTCCCCCGCCCCCAACTTTTTAATCGACTTTGTATCACAGGGGAAATTGGAGAGGATGGCGTGCGTGTTTTCGAAGAAGTGAGAAGAAGCTAAAATGTAATAAAAGTTTACAGAAGTTGTATCGTTCCCCCCACACCCCACATCCCAAATATCCCCACTCACACAATAAAAAGTGGGGGGGGGCATGGTTATAGGGCCAAGTCAGCACCTGGAATATGAATCAGTTTAGGACATTTTACGGTCATTTTTGACCCAAAGGATTAGAGTCTGCAATATGGGGGGGAGGGGAAGCCCTTGAGGGAGGGGCAGTAGGCCCTAAGCATCCTCGGCTAGGATGCGCGGAACCTGGAGGAGGTGAGATGAACCTCCGTGAATCCGGTAGCTCCGAAAAAGAGGGGAAAACACCCAGGCACCGCCCGCTCCCCGGAGCCTTCCTTCTGAACCTTCTTCCACCCTAATTTCAGGCATGTTGCAGGCTCCAGTACCCACCCATCTCCTCTTTTTCAAAACTAAGTAGCTCAGAAGAGGATAAAACAGGCGGAAACTAGGGAAAACCCCCGCGGGGAAAGAGCTTCTGGGAGCTGCGGTTGTTGAGCTGTGGCGGCTGTAGCAGCCCCATTCTGGCCTCTCGAGGCGCCCGGACCTGGGGAGGGAGGCAAGCTGCAGAGGGGAGAGCCCGTGGGCCCCCCTCCTCCCCTCCACTCTTTGCAGTCGTGACCACTTCGGTTACAAGTGGTACAAATCAGGCCTTCAACACGTTTTGTGCCCCGTGCCCTTCGCTAGCTAGGAACACTGCTAGACGCCCTTGCCCTTAAGGACTGGGCCAGAAGGACACACAGACACGCGCAAGTGCCCATGGAGATGAAAAGTAGATAGGAAATGGGTCTAGGGATGTGATAGCCCATGACCCCAGGGCTGCGAAGCTACCCATTTTCGGGGAGGGCCTGAATTTCCCCCGCATCCTAACCTTTCTGCTTTCAACAAACTCTGTGCACCATTATTTCTGGGTCCTGTAGTTACCCACCCAGACTCTACCCTCTCTACCCTCTCCTGAAAAAAAAAGGAATGGCTCAGGGATGCTGAGAATGCTGGACAGAGGCAGCCGGTAATAGCTCAGTACGTGAGAAGGCACAGAACGTGAGGACTCCAGGCTCCAGGACTAAATCAGGGTCTCCCTCCCCAGATAAAGGACATTTTCCCTCTCCGAATGCATTTTCTGAAAGAGTAAAAGGATCTCAAAGATCTGGACAGGCGGTGGGGAGGGAGCAAAAGCTGGGGGGGATTTTCTTCCTGCCTCTCACCTGGGGCCGTCTGTGGAGCGATAGCTCTCGGAGGGAGAAGCAGGAGAGCCACGTTAGATTAAAAATAGCTTCACACTGTGTCCTTTCACCTACTCCTTTGTCTTTTGCTTACTGTATCCCACCTCCTCCGCCCCCCACCCCCAGCCAGGAAGCCCTTCCCTCTCCAAAAGCCTGACCATTCACCAGATTGGGGAGCGAGGTGACCTTAGAGAAGTGAACTCGCATAGAAGGGCTTGAATAACCTGAGCACAGGCTTCTGTGCTCCTGTGCCCCCAGTCCCCTCATCTCTCCCACCCGGGCTACACTTGGGACCGGAGTTCCAGGGCCCTAGAGCACCCGGCAGCGGAAGGCGTCGTGCGGCAGCGAGTCCTCGCCTCGCCTCGCCTCAGCCAGACAACTGTTGCTGTCTGAAAGCCGCCGCCGCCGCCGCCGCCGCTGCTGCCTAGCAGCTGCAGCCCAGAGCCGAGGCTGCTCACTTTGGGTCCTGCTGGGGGTCTGTGAAGGGGGGGTGTCTCTCATTCCGGGGAGGACAGTGAAAATATTCCTCCCCCCCTTTCTCCTCAATAAGTGAAAAATCAGTGGCTTTTTGCATCTTTTCTCTCCTGCGTATGGTGATTACATCACTCAGGACAGTGGGAGCCCATTCCCCACTCTGAACTCAGTTTGCCATTGTTGAGGGAGGCAGGCAAAGGTTGGGGGGGGGGAGGCATAATCTCTTTAGTCATTAAACTTCTAAGGCATAACCGCTCACCTAGTGAGTCAAGGGCCTTGATGGAAACTTCTAGGCGCTTGCATCTGATGCCAAGCCCCAAAGGGGCCTGTAGAAGAGCCGGCAGCCTCTGGCTCCAATCTGCTTTTCACTGGGCGCGAGGTAGATGGGGGGCTGTGTGAGGTATTAGCAAAGCTGCAGTGAAGACCTAGTCCCCCAAGCCAACTAACTAATGTAGCTTTTGCCTGTCTTAAAAATCAAGACTAATGATTTTCTCCGGAGGTAAAAATAGGGTAAAGGAGCCACAGAACCCCCCCCCAGCCCCAGCCCCCCTGTCTTCAGTGAGAAGAGGCAAGTGACCCAAGCCAGGCTGAGCTGTCTCATTTTTGGCCCACTTCACCTGCTGTGGCCTTCAGTGTGCCAGCCACTCACCCCACGTCATTTCAAAAGTCCCCCCCCCACACACACACACATTGTATTACCCCCTTCAGTCTTCTATTTGGGGATGTATGTTTGCTCTAAGTTGCTCTGTTTTGCCTGTCTCCGGCTAGAGGCAAAGGCAGAGCCTGATTTCAGGCATATTTCCTGCGGTGTCAGATTATCTCAGGGACCTCTCAACAGCAAGATGCATTGGTCATCTCTGAAAAGCTCTCCTCTTGAACCAGCATTGGCCCCTGCCCTGACTGCTCGTTTCCCTTCTCACCAGCCTCCCATGCCTTGACTGCCTGCAATATACCCCAGTGCACAGTCTCACACTTGCTTCTCAGGCAGCTAAGTAACCTTGCCCCGTCTTGTTACCTTTTAGGTGGCCGAGCCTGTCCTGATACCGAGGGGTGACCACCCAAGCAAGGCAGTCTCAGAGGTTACAGAAGCTGGAAAGCCTGACTGAAGCATCTCAGGAGTCCCAGGTGAGTGGAGAGATGCCAACCCATGCATGGCCTTCGCTGGGGAGCCTCAAGGCTTCCACATGTACTCCTTCCGGGTTGAGAAGGCAGCAGCGAGGGGTCCAGCGCTTGGAAACAGTCCTCAGAGAAATGCATCCATCAAAGATGGTCAGCAGAAAGACAGCACCAAAGAGGCAAACCTACTTGTGATCCCAGAAGCAGGACTTGGGTGTGTTTGGAGGCTTCCACAACCACCAGTTCTAAGGGACAATGGCCTTGTTTAGTGAGAACTACGATTCAATCTTCCTTTCGTCTTCTAAGCTGTTTCAGGCCCCCTAAGGAAGGGGAAGTTAAGGAGTCTTTTGCTGTGGTCAGTTTCTTCAGAGATACCAATAAGCTAAGTGACATCTCAATGGAGCTCAGCTTAGGATGGAGAGAAAAACTTTTAGGCTAATGATTCCTTGGTGCTAGGGAGGGAAAAGCAACCAGAAAATCTCCTTGCTTCTGAATGTTCACTTAGCTGGCTTTCCAGGCTTCAGTCATACTTTGATTCTTACTGGGATATTCAGTTCAAAGCTTGAAAGAGACTGAAAGCAGGGGCTGATAGAATTGTGAGGAAGGGAGAAACAGACCTACCAAGCTAATCCTTAGGTTCCACCTGAGCCCAACTAGGAAGCTGCCTTAAATCTTAGAAGGGGGACTGAAAGAACAGAGGCATATTGCACTGAAGAAAACCTTCAGATTGTTAAGTCATGGACTGACTTGCTATATTAATTCAATGATGGTCATAGGGATTTTTAAATTTTTTTTTTTTACAATTTGAGAGCAGAACTCAAATAAAAAAGCAAGTTGACTGGAATCTTCTATAAATCCCACCTTGTAAAGTGGGGGTAAAGCTGTCAGATTGCTGGTTAGGCCTAACTTCTTTTGAATCCCCCCTCTTATATATAAGGATCTGAGGTTCCCAGAATCTATCATTGAGAAATAGGTTAATTCTAAGAAGTTAAGATCAACTCACTTTTCTCCTCGATTGATATTCCAGCTGACGTGTGAGGACAGCTAAGAATGCAATATTGGGGAGGTATGGTTTTCTTGTCTGTAGGTTAATCTGTTTTAATGATGTTGGAAGAATCCATTGATAGCTTAAACTTCAAACAGTATAGTATATAGATATAGATATGGTATGCAAAAACTGGGAGGTCTCATATAATATAAACATGCATGCCAATCTCTCCATTTTATTTATATATCAAGTTGCTTATGTAATTTTACCTAGATCACTTAGCTGGGACTCCAACCCACATGGTCTTCTCTGGGTTTTCATTTATTAGTCACTAAATATTGCCTATCACTGCCAAACCATAGAGATTATTCATAAATACAATGCAGGATGTCATAACAGATTCCTTTCCCAAAATGGCTTGCATTTAGAATGTAAGGTTTCAAAGGAGTGTTGATAGCAAGTCTCTCTAGCTAGGAGCGTCCTGGGGGCATTGATTGAAGGTTAGGCCAATCCTCATCTCTTCCCTGAGACACTCACCATGCTACTTAGAGGTTCTGAGCAAGCCTCAGCCCAAGAAAGTTGCTGTGTCATAGAATCCCAGTGCCGGTCATTTTCAAAGCCTCTGCCTGCAGGAAGGAGCTTGATGAGATGAATACCCCTCTTTCTCATTTTTTTCTTCTTTCTTGGGGAGCAGAGTAACTGAATTAGCTTTTCTTGTCTGATGGCTACATTGGGATCTGGTAACACAGTTGTAGGCCCCATTTGAATTCTCCTGGGAGCCTTCTCACCAATGGGAGGTCTATGATTCTTGTCCCTCCGGTTCGTTCTTTCCTATTCTTTTCTTCTCTGTTTTACGTTTACTTATATTATGCATCTGTGTGGGTATACACGTTACAGCCCCTGTGCATAGGTCCGAGGACAACTTGCCGGGGTCAGTTCTCTTCTCCCACCATGTGGGTTTCAGGAGTCACACTCTGCTCCTTTGTCTGCTGAGCCATCTCACAGACCGTTCTTTTTTTCTTTTTTTTTCTTCTCCTTCTTTTTTCTTTCTTCAGTTAATTCTGAAGACCACCTGCTAATGGGATAGTTATTTGCCAAGATCAGTTTGAAACTTAAATTTTAGCCTTCTCCCAGATCTGAGTTTATTATGTTTGCCTCATGAACTTTGACCAATGGCAGCCATCTTGATGCCATGTTAATTACGTCCTCAGGATATATATGGGAAGAGCAGCCATGACATGTGGGCTAGCTCAGACCCATGGCTGTAGTGGCCAGTTCTACGGGCTCTCACAGCTTTTGTTTTTCCCAGATGCACTTAGTGACGGCTTCTAACTAGGAAGTAAGATTCTGTGCTTCAAAAAGAGACAAGGAGAAAAAATACCAAGTGATACAATGTGAAAATAGGTTTGTAAATACTTAAGGATACTCAGGCCCATGCAGGTCATGAATCTTGAATGGCCCTCTCAGGCCTTGATTTCTCCATCTGTAAATGAGATACTGTGGTGTTCACACCCTTCTCATCCATGTGCTGACTCTGCTACTGTTGAATACGTAGTTAACAAAGACTTACTGAGTCCCTACAGTGTGTATCAGATCTTCTCCTCAAGCACTGGACTTAGAAAGAAATCATTCTTCCTTTAATAATCTGATGGAAGCAATAGACTCTACTTTCCTGAAAAGAAAAGTATAAACATTTTATAAATGTTTCAGGGATTTCAATATGCCCCTGGTCTCCATGGGCCTCATGTTTCTCTAGTCTTCAAAGGCTTTCAGTTTATGGTATTAAGATTTGAGTTTAGGGTTCATCATCAAATCTTGATTTTAACTCCTTCCCTCCTCCCCTTTCTCCTTTTTTTTT